AGAGAGAGAGAGAGAGAGAGAGAGAGAGAGAGAGAGAGAGAGAGAGAGAGAGAGAGAGAAGAAGAAGAAGAAGAAGAAGAAGAAGAAGAAGAAGAGGAGCCTGAGGAGGTAAGGCGTCAAGCACACATGCCAGGAGGAAGACAGGCAGTGGGGAGTGCAAGATGGGGAGGGACACCAACCTTTGTGAAGCAATTGCAGCACTGCCAGGAGGTTGAAGGGGGTGCGATGGGACAAACCATCTCCAGCACGGTGGAGTGTGGCAGCGAGCATCGCGTGGGTTGCAGCACAGCAGCGCTGCAGCACTTTTGTCGAGGGGGCGCCAAAAACACGGCAAGTTGGAATTCGAACTGGTTGGCCCTCCCTGCTGAAGGGAATCTCACAATGATGCATCCCCGACAGGAGGGCATAGTAGACAGCCACCAGGGAAATGGAACGGGCGGGTCGGAAAGGGCGTCCTGAAAATTTGCGCCCCTTGCTGACGGGGGCCTGCGGTATCAGAGGCCGCCGGGGCCTGCGGGAAACTTCAGAGGCCCCGCCCCCCAGGGGCACCACAGGTGAAGTCGGCCGTAGCAGGGGCATGCCGCAAAAAAATGGATTTCGGAGGGGCATTTCGAAAATTGTCTATTAAAAAATTCGTTTCCACATTTGACAAGATTCAAGAAAATGTCAGATAGAGAGTGTCACACGTTGAGCTGGCTTAACTCAACGGTTGCTACCGCACAACATGGGAGCATTTTTTATTATTATTTTTTTTCTTACTTTTTTTTTTCACCAAACCTCAACTGGAACACAAATCAGTGATTACTAATTAGAGTTCGGTATGGTGCAATGGGGAATATTTCCACAGATGCCCCCAGCAAGGCCTGAGTCTCACTTGATACCGCCCCTAAACAACTGACAATGCGGAGCAGCCTACCGTTATGACATAGCTACCGAATTCCATTTGCTACGTTGCAATTCTCCGTGACCTCGCACACGCATGATGCCAAACTCTGGGGTATCATACTTTCCTGTATACAGGAGGGTCATGAAATCTTTTCTACCCAACAGTAGCCACTAGATGATCATACCAAAGTCGGAACGCTGAGCTGGAGGCCACACCAATGCCACAAACTTCTTCTGCCAGTAACCTGCACTTGGTTTTTGACGAGAGCAGCAAAGGCCAGCATACCAAGGTGCACATCATAGCAACCACTTCTCAAAAGATTCACTGGGCCTCTCTGTAGCACCTCCTATTCCAAAGTCATCACGCTTCATCCCGGAGAATGGGTGTTCGCTTGAGAAAAAACAAATTCCTGCAGCAACAAAAATCAACCCTCTCCTGCTGTCCGCCTTCGTTTAGAGAGCAGAGCATCATCACCACCTGGGTCGGGATCATGGCCATCAGGATCAGCTACAGTAGTCCCACCCGCTGCACGTTTCTCCATCTGATCTCTGAGCCCCTCTCCAACAACTGAACCTCCTGTCTTCCCTGATTGGTTCAGAAAGCCATTTCCGTCCTCACGCGTCTCTTGTTCTGGTCGTACCCCTTTCAGACCCTTACCCACCTCCGATTGTTTGTTCTTCATTACGGCTTTCCCGACCCTCGCACTGGGCCTAACACCGACGCTGACAGAAATTTCACCCCTTGCAACAGAATTAGTGTCCCCAACCTTATCCACATCCATGTTCACGTCATCAACCTGTCTTCTTTTCTTGTCTGCACTTTTCCTCACATTCTGCTGAGCATTACTGAGACTGTTTACACCAGCAGGCCCATGTGGCAAAGCCGTACGACTTTGACTGATACCTTTGTTCGCCCCTTCCTTCATCCCCTTGAGTTTCTGACTACCTGCAGATCTGGATTGCAAAGATGGTGAGTTGTTGGTACTCTTCTTTGTTGAATGCTTTGGCGGTACGTACAAGGAACTGCACACACTTTGGTCATTGGCATCCTCCCCTCTTCTTGTCAAATCCACATGCGCAGACACGCTCTGTGTCACTGGGCCTTCTTTGGGCTTGGAAAAAGATGTTGACAGCGCAGCCATAATCCGGGAACCATATTGCTCAGCTCTTGTCTTTCCAATTATCTCTTCAAGCTCAGATAGTGAAGAAGGCTTCGAGGTTGCAATCGTGTTCATATGCTGCGATGATAAGACAGCATGTGGGAAGATACCGCCATGCTCAGCAGCTAGCCTTTGTCGTAGGTCATCCAGTTTGCTCACAACCACTGTTTGTTCTGCAGTCATCCCTGATCCCATAAGATTCAGCCTATCTTTCGCGGCATTGTCCTGCCATCTTGATGCAGCCCCACCGACGAACACCTCCAAACTAACAAACCGATGACCATCGAGTATCGCTTTGCTCAGTGGTCCCAAGGCAAGATACGCGTTCGTCGCATATGCTGTGTGACCAAATTCTTCTTTCAGATAACCTGAAAGCAAAAGCTGGGTCACAACCCTTTCAGTGTCCTCCTTGGTCAATTCTGGTGCTAAACGCCCCGAATCCCCTGGCTGACGTTTCCATTGATCAACCAGTTGGAGCATTGTCACCTTCTGATCCTTCCGGTTAATCTCCTCGACCACTCTCAAGAGTGCCCTTGCATGCTCTGTGACATCTTTGTCAACGACTGGCCTGGGATCCGCACAGTTGTCACACATCCCATGACAGTCTTGTTTGTTCTCCCCAAAATGTTCAAAGATGGCAGCTCGTTGGCATGCACGCCTGGACTGACAAAACCGGATCATGGAATACAGGTTGTGAAGACCTGCTGCTTCAGCAAACACCATAGAGCTCTGTCGAGGGAGATCAGCGCAGCGATAAAATAGTACACATCGAGAAGGAAGACCGTCTCGACCAGCTCGACCGCTTTCCTGGTAGTATGATTCTACAGATTTGCTGATTGTGTGATGAATAACAAATCTCACATCTGGTTTGTTAATGCCCATCCCAAAAGCGACTGTGCCAACAATAACTTGCACCTTGTTACTGATCCATCGCGTATGAGCTCTCATTCGCTCCTCAGGTTCCATATCCGCATGATAGTATGCAGCTGTTATACCTCTCTGGACCAACTCAACTGCAATCTGCTCACACTCCCTTCGTGAGAAGCAGTAGATTATCCCAGACTCCTTCCCAGGACCGATTTCTTGGATAAGATTTGCAATGTCATCCATCATTGCATTTGCATTCGATTTCTTCTCCCGGACCTCATAGAACAGGTTAGGTCGATTCACAGAAGATATAAACTTCTCGCACCGTGGCATGTTGAGCATCTCTCTGACGTCAGCTTGCACCCTCTCTGTGGCAGTTGCCGTTAAAACCACTAATGGGACGCGTGGGAACTGCGTCTTCAGAATGCCCAAATGACGATAATCTGGCCGGAAATCGTGACCCCACTGACTGCAGCAATGAGCTTCATCGATGGCAATGAGCAGAAGGCGACCTGCATGGTTGCACTTTTCAAGCTTTGATGAAGCGCTTGCTTTTGGCAACTTTCTCAGGAGTTACATATAAAAGTCGAAGATTTCCCTCCCCTTTTTCCAGGGCTAGGAAGATAGCTTTCTCTTCTTCTTTTGGTGTCGTGGACGTTAACATGCTGGCAGAAATTCCCATAGCCTTAAGTCCCATAACCTGGTCCTGAATGAGTGAAAGCAGAGGGCTGATGACAAGAGACACGCCTGGTCGCAACACTGCTGGTAATTGATAGCACAAGCTTTTGCCTCCTCCAGACGGCATGATCACGAAGACATCTCTACCGCTGAGTACTGAATTGATGATTTCTCGCTGATGCGTCCGGAAAGATGGCAGGCCAAACAGATTCTTTCTGAGCTTTTCAACTTCTTCATCCCATTGAAATGGACGGAGCCAGTTGCTTTCTCCCGATGCAGAGGAAGGGGCTACCTGCCCTTCACTGTGCAACCCAAACTTAGAGTCACTCTGAGCCGATGCTGCTGCTGACTTCTTGGCAACCTTCAGGCATTTCTGGATTGCAGTTCTTCTGCTGTCTAGCTGATCCTGTTGCTCAAGCAATCTCCCGATCTCCTTCGTAGCCGAGGTTCTCATCATCTCCACCTCCCCCTTGTGCTCCACCTCCCATAACACCTGTACCAAGAGGCAGACGCCGTTCGCCGTTGGCGTCCGCGGCAAACGGGTGGCTTTTCTTACTTTTTTTGCTTACACTCTTCTCTCAACTTCTGTTTCTTTTACCTTCCATTACCTACTCCTAAGACTATCTAGAGGGGACCCCTGCAAGCAAAGTTTTCCTCTCTCTGTGAAGGGGAGATTTCATGTTGCCCCTTGCCCCTAATGGTTAGGGTATAGGGTTGGGGCCACCAGTGGGGGTCTGGCTAACACAAAGACCGAGACCTGCGAGTAGCTGTGCCTCCCTTTCTCATCGTCCCCCACCCTTCATCGAGTGGCAGCAGAGGCTATGGCCAACACTCTCCCACACACCACACACAACCCACTCGCCCTCACACTCACACCCGTGTTGGTCATAGATCCCGCTAATACCGATCAGGGGTAACCAGAGGACTATCACAGTCCGTTGGCACTAAGTGCGCAGCAGGCGGCCATGACCACGTTCTTCTTTTCTTTTTTTGTTTGTTTTTGTGCACATCAAAAATTCCTACTTATCCTAGGGCCTCTCTCGAAATGTGCAAAACGAGAGCAATCTTCCGCTAGAATATGGAAAGATGCACGGCCATGAGTGGTGCAGCGAGGCCCCTAGAGTCTCAGGGGATAATCACAGGAGGACTTTTCGACCTGAGCTCAGCTCTGGAAGTGTTGCAGTCAGACGCATCCCTGTACGGCCGAAATTGAGGTCAGATACATTTAGGAAAGTTGTATTGTGAATACGCCATCAATCTCGCTTAGCTTGCACTCGTTTCAATTATGTTCAAGTATAACACAAAGACCGAAGCACTCGCTCCTTCGTTTTTGTGCCTCGGTCACGACGGTCAGGATTCTGTCCACGTACATGTCGCATGTTGACTGAAAGAGGCCGACGCATCCCTGTACGGCCGAAATTGAGGTCAGATACATTTAGGAAAGTAGTATTGTGAATACGCCATCAATCTCGCTTATAACACAAAGACCAAAACACTCGCTCCTTCGTTTTTGTGCCTCGGTCACGACGGTCAGGATTCTGTCCACGTACATGTCGCATGTTGACTGAAAGAGGCCCATGATCTGAGAGCAGGCAGAGATGACGTCCCACTACCGTCTTCCACCGAACACAAAGCACCCTACATTTGGCTGTACCGGACCGGAAATATGACTTGTATACATTCATTTTCAGGGTGCGTTATGTTCGGGGGAAGACGGACAGTAGCAAAGAGAATCGGATTGGACGGCTGAATCTGGACGTGCAGGTAATCGCGATTGGTCTTCTCTTCTGCATCTATGCATGAAAAAGACCCAGATTCGGGCGCTTATTCCACTCCCCATTTGCTTGTGGGACGAGTCGCTCAAGGACGTGATTTTGTTGAATAGTGTATAAGTCGTGTTTTCTTTTCTTTGCCATGGCCTCATAGATGGCAGAGGAGGGGGAGTAGGAGGACACGGCGCAGGAAAGAGAGGAAGTGGGAGAGAACGGGGACTCCGAAGAGGAAGAGGAGGCGGAGGTGGTGGAGGAGGAGGAGGAGGTGAAGGAGGAAAGGCGGCGAAACCCTGACATGCGTGAGGGTGCTAGCGCTCGATGGTCTCTGGTCAATCCGCTACCGTAACGGTAATTGCTATCAGCCATGTCAACATTCACTTGGAATCGCTCCACGGGAGCTACGATCACGATTGTCCTCATGACGCTGGGCTGCCTGGGCACAATGTGCTTAGGCTATCCAGGCTGTGATCTTCCGTCATCATCCAGGGGAAGCCAATCAGGACAAGTAGAAGCCAAGAGGAGCAGCGATGGCAGCGACCACCCACTCAGCTCGCAACGAAGGGAACTTAAAGCAGGTGATTTTACGTTCTTCTCGAACAATATTGTGAGTTTCGGAGAGGACTTAATACGAAATCTCACGGCGCCCGATAATGAGGATGATGTTTGGAGTATGGCGATTTGGCGCGAGAAACAGCTTCTGTTCTTTATTTTGAGCGACCGGGTATGGAGGGTGAGACTAACGGACACTAACGGAGAGCCAAGGGAAAGTACCCTCGTAGCGGGGCCGTGGCCCGACTGGAGGAATGACACGACGGCACTAGCACTCGCGCTCGAGGACCGGAGAGGGGCTGAAGGAGCATCCGCAGCGAAGAGCTCATTCAGTTTGACATTGCCAAGGAACATTCTGCACGTGTCGGATTGCAGCAACAAGGCCCTTCGCGCCTTTTCGATTGACAACCTACTGGAGGGAAACTCTGCCGCGATTGAGCTCTTCGTTCATAATTACAGTGAGCTGACCGGGGGCAGATGCCTTTACAGTCTCGCAATCGATTCCCCTCGTCAGGTAATGTACGCTTCGTCCGGGCGCGCTATTTATCGGATGAACCTGACGTACCCCCGCCGCCAATACGCGGCGCTGGAGCGTTGGGTCGGTCCGTATAGTGGCGATGATGCCGTGTCCAGCTTCGAGGACTCCGAAGACCCTCTCAAGGTGCGTTTCGGCGATGCCGTGCTTAGCTCATCAGCCATACCTGCGGATGGCCAGGTCATGTATGTGGCGGATGCAGAAAACAACGTAATCCGCCGGATCTCGACGGCCATCGGGGCGGTGAAAACTGTGGCGGGAAAGGGTAGGAGACATACGCAGGACGGCGCAGCACTAGACGCCGGTTTCTTTTCTCCCATAGGCCTGGCGTTAACACCTGACGGCTGTAACCTCCTTGTCTCCGAGAGGGCGGGGGCTCTGAGGCTGATCGGGGTCAATCCCAGGGGAGGGGGAGGGGGAGGGGCATTAAATGTGACCACCATTGCCAGGACGGATCCGCCGCAGGGTGGGTGGTGGGCCTTGTTGGCGTGTGCCTGCTCTCCTGACGGAGACATGGTGTATATCGGAAGGAGCGGCGGGCAGATCACCGGGCTCAGAATCAACAAATCGGCATTACCCTCGTGCTCGATGGACTCACAGGACAGTCCACCACCGGGAACGCCGTCTCCCTCCTTCTCCTCACCTAGTGACTCAGCCCCCAACGCCAATCCATCGCGGCCGTCCTCCGCCGTCTTTTCCAACCCTTTGGTCGCCGGTCTTGCTGGATCACTGCTCGCTGTCTTCTTCGTGGGTGTGTGCATCGTCTTCCTTTGGCGGCGAATGCGTCACGGTGCACGCAAGCAGCCGACGGAGCTGTTCCCCCCGCCGGATAGTATGGATTCTGAACGGCTGCGTACTACGCAGACTGCTTTGTCCTCGAGCGGCTGCAGGGAGGGGAGTGGTGGTGCTGCCAGCCTTGGCCCGGTGCTAACCAGCCCGGCAGTAACTCTGAAGACCTACTCTTTGCAGCAGATGGCGGAAGCCTGCCACAACTTTTCTGCGACGTGCTTGGTCGGCACGGGTGGTGCTGCGGAGGTCTACAGGGGCGTCCTAGCGACTGGCCAGGTGGTAGCCATTAAGATGATGAAAGGGGATCACTTCTCGCAGGCCAGGTTCCGTCAGTTCCAAGCCGAGCTGAGCGTGCTTGGAACTCTCCGCCATAGCCATCTCTGCAGCATCAGCGGCTATGGTGCCGAGGGCGACAGATCGTTCATCGTCTATCCGTTTGTAGAGGGTGGCACGCTTCACGAGCGTCTGCATTCTGATGGGCGACCGACACTTCAGGGTCAGGGGATCGACTCGGCCGCTGCTGCGGCGGGGRCCTGTGCGGAACGCCTGCCACTGCCACGGCAGTCGCCGCTGACCTGGCAAGCTCGTCTCTCGATTGCTTGGCAGATTGCCAAAGCACTGCGCTACCTTCACGAGGAGGTGGACCCCCCTGTCATCCATAGGGACGTCAAGAGCAAGAACGTGTTGCTGGAGACTCGTCGAGAGGGTGATAACGGCATGAGCGTCAGGGCATACCTCTCCGACTTCGGCCTTGCGAAGCTCGGACAGAGCGCTTTCAGCGACACGCAGACGGCTAGAGACACGGTGGAGACGTACCACGTGGCAGGGACGATAGGTTACATTGCGCCAGAGTACTACACATCCTGCAGACTGACCCTGAAGAACGACGTCTACGCATTCGGAGTGCTCTTACTGGAGCTCATCACCGGCAGAAAGGCGTTCGGGTCAATGGAACCGGCCAATCTCAAACGTGGACAGGAGGGGAAGGAGGAGGAGGTGCAATTGAAGAGAGAGGACGTGGAGCCAGAGGGGCCGCTACTCCTAGAAGCATGGGCAAAGAGACAGCTTCGAAGCATGGAATTTGTCTCTTCTTCGTCGGAGGAAGAGACCACAAGCAGAGCGGGAGAGGATGGTACAACGTGGACTACGGGCAGGATTGCGAGGAGGACTGTGTCGTCATCGACCAAGTGGAGGCAAATTGACAGAGTCCGAGAGATCGCAGACCCTCGGCTGGAAAGAGAGGGCGAAGTGGACTGGAGCCAGGTGCGCAGCACGTTGCAGTTTGCCATGGAGTGCGTTAGAACCAACCCCGAAAAGCGACCTCATATGGGAGAAGTGATGGAGCGACTGCCCCAAGGAGACAGGAAAAGTCGACGGCCAGGAAAACGTAAAGAGCTTGTAAAAGGTTGATGGCAATGTTAGTATGAATGTATTTTTGAGGCTTACCGGCGGCCATAGCCGCCTGAGGTATTGGGAGTTGGAGGCTTCTCTCCTCCCTCCCATCGCCAGTCCCCTCTCTCTCTCTCTCCTCCTCGGCTCCTTCTTCCTGTCTCTTATACACATCTAGATGTGTATAAGAGACAGTCCCAAGGCAAGATACGCGTTCGTCGCATATGC